ATTATATATTCATTTAGTGAGCTCATTGCTCACAGTACCTCTAGTTTACAATATAATACAGAGGAAAAACATACTAGTACAGTATTTAACATAATTGTCTATTTACAGGATATTGAAATGAGAAAGGAATGAAGGACTTCAAAATGTCAGCATTTATCTATATAAAGTAATTTTTGTAATTCTGCTGATTTCACTCTTCCAAACCTATGTCATAGTTTGGGACGCCCATTTTTGAAGTTTTGAAAAATTCTAAATGTTGTTCAACAGGCCTACGGCATTGTTTGACGGCTAAACATTCCGACATCCGAGTCGTCCATGCCATCAATTTTGGCAAAGATCCGTCCGACAAGATGGCTTGAGAAAGCATTTTCTCCATGACCAACATTCTCTCAAACCAGGGCCAAATCATTAAGTCTATCATCTGTACTTTATCACCTATAAAAAGATATAAAGAGAAAGTATACATTTTGGAACCACTTCAGAGGTGTAGATGAAAATTCATTTCAAGTTAGATATTAATGCGATCAATAATATTTCAAAGAATGAATTGTTGATTGGATGTTACAACCACTGGTTTCAAACTTCAATAATAAGGCATGGTAGAAATATATGATCTTTCTCAAGACTGACTTGTATCAGTTTTTCTTAAGGAACTTTAAGAAGTTTAAACACAGATCACTAAGAGTTTAAATCCATTGTACACGTACAATAGGTTTATGCAGTAAGTGTGATCTGCCACAAGTTTGGTGTAAATGGGGTACATAAATGGAAATAGATTTTAAATGACACAATATCAAATAAACTTATCTAAATAAATCATTATATAGGACCAAAGAAAAGTAATTTATTGAAAACATCATTTGAATAAAGTACAATGTATATATCCTTCTAATATAAATAGACAATAGTGATCATTTCTATTCGTAATTTTATTTTGTAATTTTCTTTGAAGAAGCAATTTTCAATTAAGTATACACAAGCAATGGTCAATACTTAGAACAAAAACTCACCTCCAAAGTAATCTCCCCTTTTTTGTATTTCTGTTTCAAATCTGAACATTTGTTTACGAAACTTTTCCAAGCCAGCGGGCATTTCTGCAGGGGGACCTTGGCGGACTTTATAGAAATCTGTCATCATCTAATTCAAAACACAATGTTACATAAAATTAAAGCAACTTTACTACATGTAATTTCTAAAAATCGTAGAGAAAAAATGTGACAAAGATCGATCTGATACGCATCGTCTTTTGATGTTGAAATCATCTTTCAAAAGAGATATCCTAAAGATCCAGTAAGTAACATTCTAGTGATTAGTACCGCAGAAAATTAAAATTAACCATGTCTTCCAAAAATTATACTTATTCAAATATAGTGTTTATTTTACTGCTTGAGTCACCTGAGAGAAATGTTCAACAAGCATTTTATCCTGAGCCTGGCGGTAAGGGTCCTCAGGGGTCAGTTTGTTTTGGGGATACACCTGATCCAGGTAGTCACAACAGATGAGGGACTCGTACACGATCTTATCATCTTGTTCCAGGACGGGCACTTTGCCGAGAGGATTCTTCTGGAGGAACCATTCTGGTTTGCTCTTCAGATTTATGTTAACGACTTCGTGCCTGAAAGCAATTATATAAGATTTTCAATAAATTCATTAAGCACTTCTAAATATTCAATATTCTCAAACAACAGTCTAATACAATTTCGAGCATATCTTCAGAGATAGTTTTGGAAATGGGTAATGTTGTTGCATACAATACTCCAAGATTATTTTTAATAAATTGATAAACATCTTTATTTCACGTGAAAATACCGGTATTCATGACCAATTTTTATTTTTGTAATTATTTACCGCATGCTAATGCAATTTCTTATAGCTTGGTTTTGTTTGTACAGGTGTAGTGGCCAAATGTATTTTAACGATTGAATTCCTGTTTGAAGGGGGTGGGGGTGGAAAATATGATGTTATAAAAAAAATTGATGTAAAGATAATAAGTAATGGCTTTTGTGTTTGAAATGTTTTCTATCGAAATAAAACAATATCTGCTAAATTCACCAAGACCAGGTGTATGAAAGACAACTCCTTATAAAGTAATATAGTGAAGTATTTCTGTTCATTTGATGTCTTTTGGGCCCTTCAAAATTTTCTGACATAAATAAAAGTTATACAATGTTCATATCCAAATACACTGAGCATTTTTTTAAAATAAAGAGTCGGTTAAAAAAAAATACAAGAAAAGACAGTATAATTCCTCTTGAACATTCTAAAATCGTAATTTAGTAAAAATTCAGAGGGGTGATCAAAAAATTCGCGAACTAATTGAATAACTTCCATAAAAGACACAATATTTGGTTTCAGTGTTGATTATATTTTAAATTAGTCCTCTCCGATTTTAATGCACATCTGCCACCGTTCTGCTCATGCGCGAATCACGTGATATAGGCGGTCACGTGACCCCTCCGTAGCGTTCTGTCACAAAAGCTGAAAGATTTTTCTGAGTTTTATATTTCTTTCCATATAAGTTAATTCTTATAACAAGAACAGTTCATTTGTCAGAAATGGTCAATTCTCTGCAACAGAAGGGTGGATAAGAATATCTTTTTCCAAAATAAGCATGGCGACCATCAAAACTCAAATCTTCTGCCTCGGGAGAGACGTTTATTCAAGGTGGATAGAGAATGGTGCCTCCTTCTTATCATATCTAATATGTTTAAAATCTAAGTAAACGTTATCTTAAGAATGTGCAAATTATTATATGCTACTTCAAAGGGATTTGTAAGATATACAGTACTATAAATTTTACAGTCGTTTGTTGAACAAATACGACTGAGAAAACCATTTTTCGTCACAAGTGACCTACATAGTGACGTCCTTTTCACATTGTGACGTCACAAACAAGGAGTAAAGCTTTATTCAGGATATGCTATTTATAGAACTTGTGTATAGCTACATGTGTACCACTTTTTTCTTCTAATCTGAATTGTGGTTTTGTAGATATAGAGATAGTTCGCGAACTTTTTGATCACCCCTCGTACATGAAATTTGACGAGAGTGTTTCACGATTCCATATAGAGATGCAAAGGATGTTTTAAAGAAAAGAAATACTGTAAAATCACATATTTTCGTGCAGTTAAAATTTAAAGGTTTAGGGGAAAAGTATTAGTTTGTTGGGATTTGATTTCTTTGCTGAATATTTAGTAGTAAATAGTATATTTAATGCATTTGAAATTTTAAATTTTGTGATGGTCATGAATTCGTGGGTCTATTCATACCTCATTTAAATGACAGAAAACAAACCCCGCAAAAATTAGTGATTTCACAGAAACAGAATGGGTATACAGATTAAAAAGAATCTTACGGTATATTCTTGTGAGCCAGCACCAGGAGTGATCTTTGAGCAAATGGACAGAACCTCATGCTGTACACTCGAAGGACTCCATTTTCTAAGGTGGGAGCTTTGGAACCTAGTAAATAAGCATAATTCCTAATTTTAAGACGTGAAATGGATTATGTGCAGATATACACTTGTAAAAGAGGGCCTACAATTGTAATGAAAATGAGAGTAAATTTGAAGTCTCTTATGAGACTAATCTTCGCTAGCCAAGGGTTTCTGATACCCTAACCCTGTTCATAAGGAGAGTAGCGTATCAGAAACCCCTTCTAGCGAAGATGGATGAGATTGTACATAGCTCTATACTGGTTTGTACTTATAATAAATGGAGAGAGAATAAATAGAACTTTGATTTGAAACGTTGCAACAGCTATAATAGAATTATATATCTTAGAGTAGTCTATATTTATGTGCCATGTTATTTTGAATCAGAACAAAACTGTAGGAGGAGCTTAATTTGAATGTATTTCACAGACATTTCTAATTTTGATATCCATGTATCACCGTTCAGCGAAATAAAAACACCAATAAAAAAATATTAAGTCCAATTTTAGTAAATAGTCACATGCCGTGTGCCGAGTAATAGGTCTATTGAAGTAAGACTTTTAAAGTTTAGGGGGCGGTTGAAAGTTTTCAAAGAAAATTCTATTTTTAGCAAACATGGCAACATGCACCGTTCATCGAAATCAAAGGCCGATGTACAGAATAATAACTGCTAGTAGTTTTTTTTTTATAGAAAACTACTAAAAATCAACGTATATGAGTATGCTCAAACAGAAAATGTCGTCTGGTCAACAGGACTGGCAGCTAGGTAAGATGTGTTTATTTTCTCACAAAATTGAAATTCTTAATAATTTAGTACATATTGGCCTAAATAAAACCCCAAATAGCAAACCATAACGGGGTAGCTGGAATGATGTGACTGAAAACATACAGGCCATGTAAAGATACATGTAGCTACGAAATGTATAAATAGCTCTCCGAAAAAAATATATTGACATATGGTGAGCTATAGTTCCACCCATTGAAAAAAAAAAAAATGTATATTTAATGGGCACAGAAAGTGTGCTGTTTCTCTATTTATTTCTCGAAGTTTTTTAAAACTTTCATCTGAAAATATAATCTCCGCTCTGTGACTGACACTGTCAAAATATTTTTTTTCCGGAGAGCTAAGTGTTCTGCAGCTTATATAAATATGAGGAGATCATTTAATTTGTCATTAAATAGTCTAAAATACCTTGTTTTTAATAACACCACACGAAGGAGTTTATGTGCAATTTCATACATGTAATTGGTCGATTTTTGAAAAAATAAAAACTAGGCCTAATTAAAGAAAATCAATGAACATTTGAACACGTACACCGTGTTATAAAAACTAGTAAGTGTAACCAAATTATTAAAATTTCAGCAGTCTACAACCTAAAAAGTATGAAATACATGATCCTATTGTATTAAATATATGATAAATTAATATTTACGTACCTACGGCAAAGGCCTTTTGATTTGGCATGACTGACATTGATTGAGGCTGATGATTGCACAGGTAGACTTATATCGGCGATCAGATGTCCCGTTTTTTCGCCTCAGTAGATCGTTACAATTTTTGACCCCCTGAGAACAAGCTTTTCCCCCTGAACAGACCGTAAATCGTTATAGTTAATGACCTCTTTGAATACATTTACTTACACTTTCCGTGTACAATTGAAAAGTATTAGTTTTTTTTTTTGTAATTTTCGGAATAAATAACTAAGTCCGTAGCAAGGTGTCCAAGTTGGGGGGAGGGAGAACCTCAAAAAATTTTTTTTTTTTAAATTGGTCAGACTCCTATTTCTTGGGTGAGGAGGAGGAAGGGGTCTTTCTCTGGACCTTCTTGAATCTTTTTTTAAATGGTATTTATCAGTATTCGACCAAAAAGTTCACTCCCAATTTTTCTTTCATTTTCGAAAAGAAATACAATGAGAAAATATTTAAACTTTTGATAGTTCATGTGCACAGAGTCCACTCTTGCTACTGATAAGGTTTTAACTGAGTTTTGTTGAAACGAATAGGGGAGGGCAGGTAGTGAAACAGATGATGTCTGTGCAGAAAAATCAGGGATGCAGAATATTTGTGAAATATCTTAAGCACAAAGGTAAATATAACATTTCAAATAACTTTGCAAAACTTATCAAGTTATCATGGAATACAAATACGACAAAACTATTCTTTGGAAAAGTGACTTATCGTTCTTTCGTTCTTTTACCTGACCTCATTAGTTTTATATGATACAAGATAATCTGTGACGACACAAAAATAAATAATCCTACATTTTCACACAAAATGACCAGCACTTTTGTCATGTGGGTGGTTTAAAGACAGTTATGTATATTTTTATATGAAAAAAATACTATAATTTCGTTGTTATAAATGAAAAGCACAATCTTGTGATTATGTTAGACTGGAAATTTAAATTTCAGTTACTACTTTGAAATTTTCAAAAATATTTCATTATGGAACGAACTTTCTTAACACCCCTTATGAAAAAAACACGACAAAAGATTTCTGGATTATACGTAGTGTTTGGACATCTCCTTCGCGCGCATATAAGAGAGCAAATTAAATACCGGTATAATTGTTTGCAAAGTATCAGAAACCAAGGGGTTAAAATGGACAATGCATGTGCATATATTGTAAACATAACCATTTTATTCTTATATTTATGCCCCCGTAATAGAAGATTCGGGGGTACAGTATATAGTTTTACCCTGTCCGTCTGTCTATTTGTCGACATTTAATTTTGCCAATAGCTTTTAAGTGCGTAGGGATATGGCTTTCAAATTTCACATGTGAATTCCTTGTGACAAGACCTTTCTAAATTACCACCAAATTTGACCTCGAGCTTGACCTTTCATCCACCTTACCAAAAAATCCCATCAAACTTTCAGTGTAAAAATGGTACTAGAGCTTAAATATTTCACATGTGTGTATTCATTGTGACAAGACCTTTCAATGGGAATAAATATTTTGATTCCTTTGAATACCAACAATTTTTGACCTTGACCTTTGACTGGTATTTGAAAATTTCAATCCTGTAGGTATACATCTTTACATTTATATGACACTCATTCACACCATCCACATCCATAATATTATATCTATACTTCTCATATCGTTCATAATTACAAATACAGTTTGTCACTTAATTCTCTTTAACAAGTACATGTAAACTTCTTTATTGGTTTTCTAATTGTATGGTATACTTTTTTTAAAAGACAGTTTATTTTCAAGACTATAGTGCTGCAGTCTTGCAGATACCTGGTATACCTCACCTTGTTAGAGATATTCTACAAAATCTAAAACATGTCTTTTGGGAAACTACAATTAGCTGATTTGAAGCTGGAGGCCAAAATGTACGATAAAGTAACAGATTGAGAGGTTCAGTGCAAGTGTTACACATGCTCTTAAATACACAGATTATACAGTCGCACATGTGGAACATGACTAGAGCGTTTGCTCTTTAGTCACACAGTAAGGAGTTGATCGGATCATGCATATACTTATATCGAAGATTCGAATCCACTGTGTGCCGCGGAAGCCCGTCTTTGGATGAGACCGTGTATACCAATGTCACGTGTCGCAGTAAAGTCTTGCAAGGAATAATTCCCCACTGCTCAAAGCCCTATTTTCAAAGAATAGTGCTAAATATCCAGCCCTCCATCGACAAAGCGGTTGTGGCATCCCGATATGAATGAAAAATTCTCGTACGGACATTAAAGATGTTGTATCTACCATATGCATATATTTTAACACCCCTCTGACCTCGATCGTTAATTTTTTTTTACACTCTAAACCTTCTTTCTTTGACCACCAGACATCTTGAAAGCAAGTATGAATGACAATCTAAATGTGTCATTAAACTGATTTAGAAACATGCAGTGACACACACAAAGCCATACTAGTATTCGAGCTAGTATAATTATTATACATTGGTGAAAACCCGTAATTGTAATTAAAGGCAGTAAAGTTTACAAAGTTACACATAGATGCACAGAGCCTGTTATTAATATGCTTTAATTAAAAAATAGGATTGTATTTTCACAAGATTTAAGTATATGGTAACTACGAGTGTAACATCGTGGCTTGGAGGAGTATGATATGAATACTGTTAAATAGGGTATAAGAGTATTTCTATTCATTTCATCCAATCGATCAAATTTTTTTACTGTCAACAGCAAAGATGTCATTCTTCCAAACCTACGTCATAGTTTGGAACCCCAGTTTTGTAACTTTGGAAAAACGCCAAATGTCTTTCCTCGGGATGGCGGCACTGCTGTACCGCTGGGCATCCCAACATCCGCTGTGTCCATGCACTTAATTTTGGCATAGATTCTTCAGTCACAATCATTTGCGAAAGCACTTTTTCCAAGATAAAGAATCGTTCAAACCAGGGCCAAATCATAAGGTCTATCATCATCACTTTCTCACCTGCAAAATACACATTCCACTATACTGAGAAAAATATGATAGTTGGATCAGTTGTATAAAAGCGCGAATACATAAGACCGTCGTATTACATGCAGAACGTAAGAACTTTGAAAATTAGGTCTACTTAGTGCTTATTCTTGCCCAGGTAATGAAAAGTGAATTTTTATTTTACTTATCATTTTATTTATTGATTTATTTGACTGAAAAAAAGTTGAGAAAAACACACCTCCAAAGAAATCCCCCCTCTTCCCTATTTCAGTTTCGAATCTTGACAAGTGCTCAAGAAGTTTTTTCAGTCCCGCTGGTTTCTCTTCTGCAGGTGCTTGTAAAGTTTTATAGAAGTCCGTCGTCAACTGTAAAAAAAAAAATCGAAAGGAAATTTAATATTATTATATCTGTATAATACTGTAACTTTATCTGAAATAGTGTCCATATAATAGGGAAGGAAAATGCAATGTGACCATGGAGATGGGGTTTAATAAAGTGATCTTGCATCTAAAGAGGGAACTTGAAAAAGGTTAAGTTTTTTTCTTATTAACTTTGTCACAAGATGTTGAGCTTGACATATTTTTAAGTCACCCGGTTGGTAGAGCGTTTGCTCTAGAGTCGCAAAGGAAAGAGTTGATCATGACGCGGGTATGAATTGCACTGCAGGACGTCGAGACTGTATGCTCCTTCGGATGAGACCGTATAAACTGAGGTCCCGAGTCGCAAAAAGAACTGGTACGAAAAAGAGCCCTCACTGCTCAATAGCCCCGAGATCAGAGTGTAGGTCTAAATTTGAGGTGCTATCTATGACAAAATGTGGAAATGTAGAGTTAATTTTACACTTTGTTCATGAGGAAACGTATATTTACCTGGCTGAAATGTTCAACGAGCATTTTATCCTGAGCCTGGCGGTAAGGATCCTCAGGTGTCAGTTTGTTTTGGGGATACACCTGGTCCAGGTAGTCACAACAGATGAGGGACTCGTACACGATCTTATCATCTTGTTCCAGGACGGGCACTTTGCCGATAGGATTCTTCTGGAGGAACCATTCTGGTTTGCTCTTCAGATTTATGTTGACGACCTCATGTCTTTAGGTGATAAAAATTGTTAAGTTGCAGTGAAACAGTATTCATGTATGTACATTAATCCATTGTATTTAAACTAACCTTCAATACCTTACAAGAAGAATTCGTTGAAATACAGCATAAGAAAGGTAAGTCTTACATAAGATTTGAATATTCAGAAATGTAAAAATTATGCTCCGTGCCTTTGAAAATGCATGATATGATAAACTCTATTACAAATTAGCAAATTTAACTAATGAAAGTCTTAAGCACTCAAGCTAACCCTTGTATTCTTTAATTAACGATATCTTGTTTGTTCAGCAATCAGCAATGTCTATATTTACGAGAGCTGTTCAATAAATAATGTCCCGAATTCTTTGACAAACGACATTGAAATCATATGACATTAAGCTTGACTTTTTCTAATTATTGAATCTTTAATGAATTGATAACAGTTTATGTGACCACTTTTCATCACAAGGTTACATTGTTAGAAGCTGGAAAACAAAGGCTATTCGAGACACTGCATTATAAATGAATGGTAAAGAATCCGCGAACTATATATAGAGTGAAATTAAACGCTTCATTAAAGTTGCTGTAAAACTTGTTAACAATCCGAAAGAAATGTAAACTGAAATATGAAATTTACAGCAACCAATGTCTGTTTTATACACATGAGCAGGTGGACTTCAATGGAAAAAAATTATATAATTGGCACCAAAAATAGGTACTGTCCTTGGCGACAAGGACTTACAACAACCAATGTACTGTTTGCCAAAATTCAATAAATTATCACTGATTATGTTTGATTGACTTTAGAACATATAGCAAATTTCATCATTTTGGGGGTAATTCACACTGTTTTAAAGAAAAATTTGACAGTAAAAAAAAAAACTTAATACTCAATGGTCACCCTATGTTTTGAAAAATTAGTGAAAATGACAGCGCGTAAGAATATCTAAACAATTATTTTAAAAAATAAAAAAATGTACTTATCCACGTTTGTCTGAAATTCAAACAGATAATGAAACTTTAAACCCTCAAAACAGATTTACAATAAGATGCACTTGTCAAAATTTGCAAGAGCACAAAACAGTTTTATATGCAATTTTCTTAAATATTAGTGGTCTTGTTTTTCAAATTCTTATTCGGGGAGAAAGATCAATTTCTGGAGGAGTCTAGAAAGCAAAATTTCTGCAAAAAAAAAAAAAAAAAAAAAAAAAAAAAAAAAACCAAAAGTTTATGAGAGGAAGGAACCAGAATCAGGAATCCACTACACTAAATTTCTTCAAATAGTTAATGTTTTGTCATATCAACAAAATTCTCCAGATCTTTCAACCTTTGACTTGTTTCATTTTCCAAACTTGAAAAAACACCTTTCCGAAAGAAAAAAAATCAAGTACAGGAAATCATAGGATCTGCCATATTCCAATATACGAAGGGCCATACTCAAAAATGTGTTCTAGAAACAATCAGAAATTGGATAAAAATGTTACGGACATGAGTTTTAATTAAAAGAGAATATTTAATAAGTGAAATCATTAAGACTAAATCATTGAAAAGCGTATTTTGTTTCTTTCCGAGCACCGAAGACATTATTTATTGAACAGCCCTCGTATACGAGATAATTACTTGAAGGGTATTCAAATATATTACAGTACATTTCCGTGTTTCTTGATTTCATAGTTATAGTGTTTTCATTTATGATATGAACAATAAAACATACGGGATATTTTTGTGAGCTAACACCAAGAGTGTTCGTTCTGCATAAGGACAAAATCTCATGCTGTATATACGGAGCTTCCCTGTTTCCAGACTGGGAACTTCAGAACCTGTCAATAAATATAACAATAGAATAATACAAGAAGATATGTCTGTGATATACTACAATGCCCATATATTGGCCACTGAAAGTCAAGGTTTAAGTTCTTCAATTAAAGGTCAAAACTCCAAAGTCAAGGTTAAGAGTTTAAAAAATGTTAGAATCGGAAAATGTGTTTTGAAAGCCATACACTGTAGCACCAACTATAAGAAAACATGGCGAAAGTTTAAATTTTCAAAAAGGAGGTCATATGCTAAGGTCAATGTCATGAGTTCAAAAATATATAAATATAGTACCTATAGGCAATTTTAAAGTTTTGACATTTTTAGGTCAACCTAAAGTTTTGACAAATTTAGGTCAACCTCCAAGTTCAAGGTCAGGAGGTCAAAAATGGTAGTAGTACCAAAGGAAGGTCTCGTCACAAACCATACACATGTGATATATGCAATCCAACAGGGTCAAACCGTTAAGCTTATTGTAAAATATAAAATCTCTAGAACCAAACATTTGAAAGTTAAATTATTGTTAAGTTAAGTTAAATTTTGCATAAGTAGGTCCAAAAATGTTGGAACGAAAAGAATGGTCTTGTCACAAGAAATACTGTTAAATATGTGAGAAATAAAGCCCTCAGCACCTAAAAATTAAAAACAATGGACAAAGTTAATTTAAAGGTTTCTGTAGACTAACACTGACACATAGTCTTGAAATAAAGGATGACCCGACTCACTGGTCTGGGGCCAGTAAATTCTCAATATGGACTGGTGCTTTGTATACAGCAAGTTCTCGAGACCAGCGATTATTTTATGCATATATAAAAATCCATTCTTGCCCAATGGGAAAGTGAAGTCTATTGACAATTTAAAATTTATGTTGACAGTCAAAGTTACCAGTGGGAAAATATTTCAAGCTTTGCAGAGAGACGGACAGACCAAAACAATATGCCCCGAATCAATAATTATATGTAATTACCTTTTGAATTCTATATTTGGAACTTAAAATTATTGATAAACAGATAATTTCATAAATGTCAGGTATAAAATTGCATATGAAGATTGACAAATAAAACCGTAAACTTTATTTAGAAAGTTATTTGAAAAATATTGTTTGCTAAAAAAAATGACAAGAATAGTGAGACCCCACTCCTGGTATTGACTGTACACAAAATAACACTCGTCACGTGAAAAACCGGCCTATTTTCGTTTTCTCATTTTAATGATCGTTCGAAGTAATCTCTACCCACTGGTCAGCTAAATGTACTCACCTGCAGCGAAAGCCTTTTCAGTCGGCATTGTTCAATTCCTTCAATAAAAAAATCAAACGGTGAATCAAAGTGTTGCCTTAATATTTTTTATTTTTTTTTTTAAATGTTCTAAAAACAGGTATGTTCTATATTTTCAACTTTAAAGTCAGTATGTCAGGGACACACACATGTGAGGACACAACAGGTTTTATTAAAAAGAATAAGACATATTTTAAATAATAATAATAAAATGAAGTCAACAAAATAATGCTTATAAATGGGCGTCAGTTATCGATTGGGAATGTACACTTTGATATTGTATTTATCTGGGGGTAAATGAGGTCATGATTGGTGTCGAAGAAACCAACGACAATCGACAGCAAGAACGACAAACGAGAAAAATAACAAAACTTGTTACATGTCATCGTGAAAATACAGTGTATTTAACAGCTGTATTTTCTTGATGCCTTTCAACAGTGTTAAAAGGTTATTAAAGGTATGACACACCTTTTAACAAACGATCCGCCCATAAGCGTTCACAAATCGAAACAACCGTACACAGAACGATATTGTACGAACCGTTCCAAACAGCTGCCAAAAAAGGAAGAAAAAAAGAAAAGAAAAGAAACTGAGTAAATAAAGAAACATACCCAGATACCGTGCAAGTGGTGCAGTAGCACGTTTTAATTAAATGTCTATGTTCAAATCATATAATGTTATTTATTCATCATTTAAATTGCAATCACTCAGCTAATCCGAGATTCCTCTGACTCTAACCCCTGCTTTTTATATTGTGATTGGCCTCTGCCCTGACTCTCACCTGCACAATCACAATATCAAAAGCAGGGGTTAGAGTCAGAGGAATTTCGGATTATCACTCAGCAGGATCTTAATTCTTGAAAATAACCAGCATTACATAAAAATATTTAAGAAAAAACGACAAAGGGAAGTAACTTCAAGAGATATAATATTAGTATGTTTACAAACAACATTTACTTACTTACGATAGTCAAGTGGTCTTGTCACTTTTTTAGTCTATAGCCTACCCTTATCACCTGTCTTATCAGATAGGTAAAGACCCACGTCCAGCTAGCTTGTGTTTATCGAACCCGACGCATTTAACTTATAATAAGGTATCCGGTCCATATTAGCCTCAGATTCAATGAAACTACATATCAGATATTTAGAGACTGAATATTCTGTATATTGAGACATATTTTTCATGTTTTATCACCAGTCATCGTCTCAAGCCACGGGTCGGAGTCCACATATAGCTCTCTGCAGAATGGGAGAGGGTTATACATTTTTGTCCGTGGTTTGCGACGATGCCTGCGACGTAAGTATGTAAGAACAGAACATGTCCTATTTTTTTCCGCTTTTCCCAAAGGGTCAAGTGAGCTTTTCTGGTCAAAATTTGTTCGTTGTCTGTCGTCGTCGTCGTTGTTCTTGTCGTCGTTGTTGTAAACTTTTCACATTTTCATCTTCTCAAGAACTACTGGGCCAATTTCAACCAAACTTGCTACAAAGTATACTTGGGTAAAGGGGATTCAGATGGGAGATAATTATGAATTAGAGAAAAATTAATGGCATTTTAAAAAAATCTTCTCAAAATCATGACCCCCGTGGGTAGGGTGGGGCCATAATGGCCGATCAGAAACTCATGTGGAATCATCTTCAGGTAGTGTAGATTCAAGTTTGTTCAAATCATGACCCCTGGGGTAGGGTGGGGCCAATATATGGCTGATGAAAGTTTTACATAGGAATATATAGGAAAATTTTTTAAAAATCTTCTCAAGAACAACTGGGCCAGGAAAGATGAAACCCATGTGGAATCATCCTCATGTAGTGTAGATTCAAATTTGTTCAAATCATGAACCCCGGGGGTAGGCTTGGGCCAAAATGGCCGATCAAGGAATATGTAGGAAAAATCTTTAAAAATCTTCTTCTCAAGAACCACTGGGCAAGGAAAGATGAAACTCATGTGAAATTATCCTCAGGTAGTATAGATTCAAGTTTGTTCAAATCATGACCCCCGGGGCTAGGGTGGGGCTAAAATGGCCGACCAAAATTTTACAAAGGAATGAATAGGGAAACCTTTTAAAATCTTCTTTTCAAGTACTTCAATGCAATGATTAGTAATATTTATATGGAATCATCCTCAGGTAGTGTAGATTCTAGCATGTTCAAATCATGATCCCCTGGGGGGTTAAAATTCAGGCCCCCACCTCAGTAAAGTTTCAGTTCTGATCTGATATGTGCTTTTTCCTAGCCGATGTGCTAAGGTGAGCGCTGTGGCCCCTTGGCCTCTTGTTTAATTCGTAATGATCAAATACTTCTTCCAAGGAAGGATTTTGATATTGTTAGCATTTATATTATATATTATATCTTCAAAAATTTATTAGTTTCCATGGACTTCAATGCAATCTTCAAAGATTAAATACTGCTTACTAGGAATAAAAGTTTTGAAAATTTCCTTGATAAATCCTTTTCTACTTTAAAGTACTTTGAAATAATATCAGAGTATTTTATACACAATTGATATTAATTTTAAGGTTAGAAAATAAGTTTTTAATACGGGTTGGATACCTTAATTAAGCATTTCGCAAAAGGAAGAAATTATGCCACTGAAGTGAGCACGTGGCACTACATACGAGGGTTGTTCAATAAATAATGTCCTCGGTGCTCGGAAAGAAACAAAAAAAGCTTTAAGTTTTCAATGATTTAGTGTTAATGATTTCACTTAGATATTCTCTTCTAATTAAAACAGATCTCCGTAATTATCCAATATCTGATTGTTTTTATAACACATTTTTGAGTATGACCCTTCGTATACTGGAATACTGCAGATCCTATGATTTTCTGGACTTAATTGTTTCTTCTTTCTGAAAGATGTTTTGTCAAGTTTGGAAAATGATACAAGTCAAAGGGTAAAAGATCTGGCGAATATTGTTGGTGTGACTAAACATTAACTATCTGTAAATCCCCCAAACACCTTTACTCTTCATGACGTGTGGGTTTGGACGCTAATAAGAAGATTTAATGTGGTAAATCCATGATTCTGGTTCCATCTTATCATAAAGCTTTCGATTTTTTTTTTTGCAAAAATTCCCTTTCTAGACTTCTCCAGAAATTGATTTGCCTCCCCGAATAAGAATTTGAACAAGAAGACCACTAATATTTAAGGAAATGGCATATAAAACTGTTTTTGTGCTTTTGCAGTTCTTTGCTCTTCTCAGACCTTGGCTGTTTTTGCTAAGTGCATCTAATTGTAAATTTATTTTGAGAGTTTAAAGCAATGGATTCAAGTTGCATTATCTGTTTGAATATCAGACAAACTTTCATAACTACAATTTTTGATTTTTTTAAATAATTGTTTAGATATTCTTACACGCTGTCGTTTTCACGGATTTTTCAAAACATAGGGTGACCATTGAGTGCTAACTAAGCTTTTTTACTGTCAAATTTTTCTTTAAAACGGCGTTAACCAAAATGATTTGTTGAATTTTGACATACATTGGTTGTTGTAAGTCCTTAATTGTCGCCAAGGACGGAACCCATTTTTGATGCCCATTACTAATACACCTGTATATCTTTTTGTTCATTGAAATCAACCTGCTCATATGTCTATAAAACAGACATTTGTTGCTGTAAATTTCACAAAATTATTTCAGTGAATATTTCTTTGGGATTCTTATCAAGTTTTACAGCAGCTTTAATGAAGCGTTTAATTTCACTCTAGTTTACTGATTCTTTACCATTCATTTTTAATTCAGTGTCTCGAATAGCCCTTGTTTTCCAGCTTGTCAAAATGAAACTATGTGATGAAAAGTGGTCACATATACTGTAATCAATTCATTCAAGATTTAATCATGAGAGAAAGTCAAGGTTTATGTCATATGAGTTCTATGTTGTATGTCATAGAGCTCAGGATATTATTTATTGAACAGCCGTTGTAATGGCTCCAGGGCGCCTATGTTTGGTTCAGTTTTCAAAAGGGACATCTGGGTACCAGGGCGTCAAGTACACCGGCCCCTATTGTGTTATTCTTAAGGGGTCTAATGAAAGCGCCTGTCGCCAAAATTAAAACTTGTGCTACTTAGGTTATCTCGGGGCATTATGGCTCCATGGCACCCCTAAAGGGCTCCGTTGTCAAAGGAGGCAATATAAGAAACGTACGAGGTCTGTTCAATAAATGTCCTCGATGCTCGGAAAGAAGCAAAAGACGTTTTTCAATGATTTAGTCTTAATGATTTAACTTAAATATTCTCTTTTAATTAAAACACATGTCTGTAACATTTTTATCCAATTTCTGATTGTTTTTAGAACTCATTTTTGAGTGTGACCCTTCGTATACTGGAATATGGCAGATCCTATGATTTACTGGACTTGTTTCTTCTTTCTGAAAGGAGTTTTTTTTCAAGTTTGGAAAATAAAGCAAGTCAAAGGTTGAAAGATCTTGCGAATATTATTGTGTGGCAAAATATGACCTTTAGATTTATCCCCAAAACTCTTTTACTCTTCATAGGTGTGGGTTTGGAAGCTGTCATGAAGAAATTTAATATAGTGGATTCATGACTCTTGTTCCTTCCTTTCAAAAACTTTTTTTTTTGCCAAAAAATTGCTTTCTAGACTCCTCCAGAAATTGAACTGCCTTCCCGAATTAGAAGTTGAAGAACATGACCACTAATAATTAAGAAAATGGCATATAAACTGTCTTTGTCCTCTTATAATTCTTTGCTCTTTTCAGACCTCTGCTATTTTTGTCAAGTGTATCCTGTTGTAAAAATGTTTTGAGGGTAATAAAGCAATGAATTCAAGTTTCATTATCTGTTTGAATTTCAGATAAACGTGGATAACTACATTTTCTGATTTTTTAAAAATAATTGTTAATATCTTCTTACACGATGTCGTTTTCAATCATTTATCAAAACATATTGTGACCATTGAGTACTTAGCTTTTTTACTGTCAATGTTTCTTTAAAATAGTGTGAAATGCCTCCAAATTGATGTCTATTACGAGGGTCGTTCAATAAGTAATGCAATACACAGTATATCATGATAAATGTTGAGGCATTTGATTTTATTTTTCATAATTGAAAAGTTCTATTAAAGATTTCCTAAACACAGAAAATCCCACGAATTTTCATATTGTCTTTGCAGAGAAATTCATTTGTAAAGTAAGCATGGTCACTACACTGATCTGAAAGATGAAAATAAGAGCGCATCTGAACTTTGCGCTTTTTACATACATCGCCGAAAACCTCATATTTAAGGTATGATTTTTTATATGCAGAAAAAAATTATCTTTAACGCTGTATACTATTCAAATGGATTCAATAATTCAGAAGAAATTAACGAGAGTTCAACTATAACAGTCAATGTGGTCAATTGAAAGAACTATATGCGGTATATTGCATATATTTGCCCCCACAAAAGTCAAATTTTGAAAACTTCCTGAAATGTGCTGAATTCAATAAATTGTTTGAGATATATAAATTAACTTAAAATATTATAGTTTCAAAGCAGTGTATTCACAATTTTTGTTTTTATGACGTTACAAAGTAGTCTGATTTTATATCCTTTTTCAGAAAGAGGACAAAATGGACAAAATTTCAACAATTTTAGCTTTAGAATTTATAGAGCGCAAGTTTGTTCAGGAACAATATTGGCATATTTCATTGATATTATCATTCTACACATTGTTTCAAAATATTGATCCTGAACACACATGCGCTCGATGACTTTTACTCAAAATATCGACGAAATATGTACATTTTTCTGTAAAATTCATAAAAAATGAAATTAACGTCATGTTTGTGACGTCATTACGTACATATGACGTCATTACTTATGAAAATATTCAGTGCTTTGAAGTCAGCATATACTCCCCTGTTTAAAAACTTAATTAAATATACCTCCGTCAAAGTTTGATTTGGGGGGCAAATATTGGTTATTACCGAATAAAGTTCTTTGTGAGGACACCAAAAATTATCGACTTTATCTGCAACATGAATTTGAAAATGCTATATTTACATGGAAAGAGATTGATATGACACTAAACATTTCATCGTCCCAGTATTTTGTAAAATTCTGACAAAGGAAAAAAAT